ATTAAAATTGTTATTATATTAGTTTTAGAATATTAGATAAAATTCCTAATATCAAAAGATAATATATTGTATTTAATTAATTTAAACTTTAAAATTTCATTTGCTAATTTTGCTTACGTGTCATTTGAATTATTTAATTGTAAAAGAAATTAATAATCTCTTATTTAATTGGCTACTACTTAAATTCATAATCCTACATGGCGCGCTAAGAAAATTAAATCCTACGTGGCTCTCTAAAAACTCGGGGAAAAACTCCCCTTTATATATATATATTAGATTAGATTGTTTCAAAAAAAATATTATATCCTCTCCTCACACATCATGTCTTTTGTTTTTATAATTGTTTTTTTTTTTTTTTTTTTTTTTTGACAAACCATACTAACAAATAAATTCAATTGAACCACCTAAAAGTATATGCCATATTCCATTTTAAAAAAAAAAAAAAATTCTATTTGGTATCATTGTACTTAGGATTTTTCCATTTGATATTCAATTTTTATTTTTATTCCACAATGTAATTTCTTTTTCTTCTAATTTTAACTTCAAAATTTGATCCTTAAAGGTCATAATGACCTCCAAAACTTTAACCGCACAATTTTTTTGCGCGAAACAAATCGAATTATGCAGATTGAGCCATTTTTCTTGCACATAAACCGAGATATTTTAAAGTGTTTTTTTGCTAGTTTCAACCAATTTATAAATTGATACCATGGTATCAGAGTTAGGCCCACGATATGGGACCTTAAATGGCTAAAGTTCACATGAGACAAAGTTTAAAAGGGACCTTACATGTGAGGGTGAGTGTAGAAGCACTCTAGCCTGAAAAATCACATGAGACAATGCGGGTCGCGGGTCGATAATGGGCGGGCCTACAAAACATCAATTAAAATAAATATTGGACAAAGCCATTATTAAATACATATGAATACAAATTAATCTATATAATTATTTTTAAATTATGTATTTTCTTTATCAACTAAATTGGAAAAACATGTTGGCCCTATATTGACTCTACCCAATAAGGGTCCTGTCCATTAATAGCCCTGTCCATTAAAAGCCCTATAAGCTTGGCCCTGACCCTATTATCATTGGGCTACCCTGTCCAATAACCATCTCTAGTGATGAGAGAGATAGAGAGAAATTATAACCTAAAAAGGAAAGAAAACATTTGTTACACATAATAGTAAGCATCCATTTATAGTATATGTTGCAAAACTATTATATGTTGCAAATAATAGTTAACGGAGAAAGTATAATAGTATTATGTGGAATCCAAAAAGAAATTGGATATCAATTGAATAACCCCATGGTACCAAATGGAAAAACTCCCCCAAAAATTAAAGTTAAATATCAAACACCTTACCTTACTAGTTTTGCTTGTTACTTGTTAGAAATCGAAATCCTATGAGACAGAATAGAAGGATGAATCCGCACAAATTACTCCAATTAGCTAGGTTTTAGGCGACACAATGCTTTAAATGTATTTTATTTAAAGTTTTTTCCGAGGGATTGAAGGAAGCTTTAATAAAAGTGCAACTAATTTTCAATCTTACTTACAAGAATCCAAAACTCACGACATTCACAAAATACTTTAAAATTCACTAAAACTTTGCAATTATCAACTAACAATCATTCACAACCAGTTCAAACAAACATTCTCAAGCAATTTCATGCAAAAATTCAAGAATTTAAACACAAAATTAGTAAAAGGGAGGAACGATTATACCGAGCTTATCGTGGGTGTAAAACTCGCAAATGAACTTTTCTAACCTTCCTTATGCTTGCTTGACCATGCTCCAACACCCAATTGCTTCAATTTTAATATCACAAGAAAACCCCCAAATTGATTTTTAAGGGTTAGGGTTTTGAAAATTTGGGTATTTTTTGGGTTTAAAGAAGGAGAATGGAGTAGTAAATTGTGATTTTGTTGAAATGGAGTGAAGATTTTGGGGGTAAAATGTTGATTTTTGGTGGGATTTTGAGGGGTTGAGTGAAATTGAGTGAGTTTAGAGGAGGAGAAATAGAGTTTTAAAGAGAGAGAGAGAGAGAGATCAAATCGTGATATTGAGTTATGAGGAATGATATTTTTTTTTATGCACATAAACCGTGCTGCTGACTGCTTAATTCGGGGATGCACGGACGTGCAGACTTTGGCACGGACGTGCAGCCTCGAGCAGTAACTTGAGAAGGCTACCGACTTGATTGGCACGGACGTGCAGGGGGTTGCACGGACGTGCTGACTTTGGCACGTCCGTGCCAATCTGAAAAATTTCACTCTCGAGTTCCTGATTGCTTCTAATTGTTGTTGCACGGACGTGCGATGTTCTGCACGTCCGTGCATACCTGATGCTGCACGTATTCTCTGTTTTTTTTTCTTTTTTTTTTTAATAATAAGGCATAATAATAATAAAATTATTACTATTATCACCATTATTATTATGACTATTACTAAGCCTACTACTTCACATCCATGAATATTTTTTTCTTACTACTCTTTACATCAATACCTACAAAATATATTAAGAGAAAAGTTAGTAATAATAATAAAAAATTATGGAAAAGAAATAATAGTTTAAGAGAGAGGGAGGTTGAGAAACTCGGGTTGCCTCCCGGAAGCGCTCTTTTAACATCACTAGCCTAACGACATTGCGGGATCAATGAGAGGAAGGAACATCAAACACATCAAGGTGAACAACCTTGGCTTCTTCATGTACTAAACCGTCAAAGTATGGCTTTATCCTTTGGCCATTCACGTTGAACGGTTCACCGTTGTCATTTGAGATTTCAATAGCACCATATGGAAACACCTTCTTAACGGTAAAAGGTCCACTCCATCTTGACTTGAGCTTACCCGGAAACAACTTCAACCGGGAATCGAATAGTTGGACCTTGTCACCTTCTTTAAACTCCCTTTTGCTAATATGCTTGTCATGCCAAATCTTGGTCTTTTCTTTGTAAATCTGTGCACTCTCATATGCATCCAACCTTAATTCTTCCAAGGCATGGATGTCAAGAAACCTCTTTTCACCGGCAGTTTGAAGGTCGAAATTCAATGTTTTGATGGCCCAATGAGCACGATGCTCAAGTTTTACCGGCAAATGGCATGATTTCCCATAAACAAGCTTGTATGGTGTGGTGCCAATGGGAGTTTTGAATGCGGTGTGGTAGGCCCATAAAGCATCATCAAGCTTTGTAGACCAATCTTTCCTAGACCTATCCACCATTTTCTCAAGAATCATTTTTATCTCCCGATTTGAAATTTCAGCTTGACCACTTGTTTGTGGGTGGTAAGCCAATGACATCTTGTGCCTCACACCATATTTCTCAAGAAGATCTTGAAAGGACCGCTTTCCAAAATGTGAACCACCATCACTAATAACGGCACACGGCACCCAGAACCTTGGGAAAATTACTCTTTTGAAGAGCTTGACCACCACTTTAGCATCATTAGCAGGAGACGCAACCGCTTCTACCCACTTTGACACGTAATCAACGGCCACAAGAATGAACTTATTCCCAAAAGAGGTCGGGAAAGGCCCCATAAAATCAATGCCCCATACATAAAAAATCTCTAACTCAAGAATGTTGTTAAAAGGCATCTCACTTCTTCTTGAAATATTATCGGTTCTTTGACACCGATCACAAGCTTTCACTACACCCCACACATCTTTGAACATTGTGGGCCAATAAAAACCACATTGTAAGATTTTCGCCAAAGTTTTGTTAGCACTCATATGCCCTCCACAAGGTGAGGAGTGACACATTGTGATAAAATCTTCAATCTCATCATCTGGGACACACCTTCTAAAAAAGGCCATCCAACACTTTGTTTGAAAAGCAAGGGGTTGTCCCAAAAAAAATTGGCGAACATCACGTAGAAACTTCCTTTTTTGTTGATAGGAGAGGTCGGGAGGAAGAATAGAGCAAGATAGATAGTTTGCAATGTCCGCAAACCATGGTGCCGGTGTTTGTAGAATAGCAAACAGTCGATCATCCGGAAATGAATCGTCGATTGGCAAGTTATCAAGATCACCTACAAAGATAGGTAACCGTGAAATATGATAGGCCACAACATTTTCGGCACCCTTCTTGTCTCTAATCTCATTGTCATAGTCTTGTAAGAGCAAGACCCACCGTATCAATCTTTTCTTTGGTTCCTTCTTGGACAAGAGGTACTTTGAGGACATGTGAACACAAAAGGGGCATCCTTCAACCTCCACCCGGTGACCGACCTTGTAGAAATGGTCTCACCGTTATCATTCTTAATGATGGTCATGCCTCCTTTTTTTGGCACAACTTGAACCGGACTATCCCACTTATTATCGCAGATAGGGTACATTATGCCCACTTCAAGAAGTTTTAAAAACTTCTTTTTTCACAACTTCTTTCATGTTTGGATTGAGCCTTCTTTGGTGCTCAATTGAAGAAGCATGATCATCATCAAGTAATATCTTATGCATGCAAATTGTGGGACTTATCCTCTTAATGTCATCAATTTTGTACCCGATGACATCTCTATACTCACTTAGAATAACTAGGAGTTTATCAAGAGAGACATCATCGAGCTTGGAATTTACAATAATGGGATAGGCCTCACTATCATCAAGAAAAGCATATTTAAGAAGAAGGGGAAGGGGTTTAAGTTCAACCTTATGAGGAGGCGTAGTCCTCTCCTCTTTTACCTCCACATTGAGAACTTCCACTTTCACTTCATTGTGGACTAAAGGTTGGTTGAGCAAAAGATCATACCCCCTTGTTTCTTCATCTTCCTCAACTAAGCCTCCCGTTAGGATAGTTTGTAAAGGATCTCCTTCAATCAAATTCTCTTGGAACTCCTCTAAGTTCCTTTCCAATGTATCAACTCTATGAACTTCATCATACGATGGATTTTTCAATGTTTGGGAGAATGAGAATGAGATTTTCTCATCTCCCACATTCAATGTTAAACTTCCTTCCTTCATATCAATAACAACACTCGCGGTGTTCAAAAATGGTCTCCCCTAGATGAGGGGTACTCTTGTGTCTTCTTCCATTTCCATTACTACGAAGTCACAAGGCACAAATATTTTCCCGACTTGAACCAGTATATCTTCAAGAATTCCCAAAGGTAGCCTAACCGTGCGGTCGACCAATTGTAGGGACATTATTGTTGGCTTGAAGTCTCCAACCTTCAAAATCTTTGCTATAGAATAGGGCATCAAGATCACACTTGCCCCAAGATCACATAAAGCATCCATAGCTTCCAAGTCTCCAATCTTCACCGGTATTGCATAGCTACCAGGGTCACCAAGATTTTGAGGAAACTTATTTTGAATGATAGCGCTCACCTCCTTGGGAAGGGAGATGGTTGCACTCTCCCCAAGCCTACTCTTGTTGGATAGAAGATCCTTCAAAAATTTCGCATATGTAGGCATTTGTGACATAGCATGAAGAAAGGGGATATTCACTTGAAGTCCTCTCATGACTTCAAGAAAATTTGAAAACCTTTCATTCAATTTCTTTTCAACAATCCTATGGGGGAATGGAATAGGAGGCTTGTATACTTTCATGGGGGGCTTTTCTACCTTTTCCTCATCTCCCTCATTTTTCTTTTGTGGCTCCTTTCTCTCATCATCAACTATCTCATTTTCAAACTCACCCTCATTTCTCACCACAACTCCCTCATCTCTCTTTTGTGGCTCCTCTTCACTCATAACCTCTCCCCGATCTCAAATTAATGGCCTTAGTTTGCTCCTTTGGGTTCACAACCGTTGAGCTTGGGAAGTGACCACTAGGATTGAAGGATGAACTTCTAACTTGTTGCCCAATTTGAGCCAATTGATTCACAATTATCTTGTTGTGTGCTTGAAGTTGTTGGATGTTCGCTTGCATATCCGCATTGCTTCTTCCTTGTTGTGTAATGAAGGTCTCAAGTGCGGCTTCAAGGCTAGATTTTTTAGGAGGTGGAGGAGCGGGTTGGTTATATTGTTGCCTTTGTTGGTTTTGGTCCCTTTGATTAGAGTGACGGTAAGGAGCTTGTTGGTTTTGTGGATGAGATTGGTTGTATTGGTTTTGAGGGGGGCCTTGGTTTTATTGCTTCCAACCCGTGTTTTGTTGGGGTTTCCAACCTTGATTGTAGGGTTGAGAGTATTTATCATTTCTTTGCCCAATAGCCGCCGTTTTCTCTTGGTTAGTTGAGTTGCAATAGGAGTACAAGTGATCATTTCCTCCACAAGTCTCACAAGACATGACTTGTTGTGAAGAAGAGCTTGGAAATGTAAGGGTGGCTTGATCTAGCTTGTGAGTTAGCATGTCAAACTTTGATGCAATAAGGTATATGTCGTGGATTCCGCCCTTCTTTGCTTGAGGTTGGCTTCTATCACCTCCGTATGCGTAGTGCTTTGCCACTTCTTCAATCATTTTGTATGCATCATCCCTCGATAGCTTTTTAAGGCTACCACCGGCCCCGTTATCAAGGTTGGCCCTTGAAGTAGGAGTAAGACCATCATAAAAGCTTTGAACAATGATCCATGATGTGAAACCATGGTGTGGGCATTTTCTAGTGTAGTCTTTGAAACGCTCCCAAGCTTCACTTAACGTTTCATCAATCACTTGGTTGAAATTGGTGATTTTTCTTCTTAGTTAGGCAGTTTTTTCGGGTGGACAATAATTTACAAGGAAAGCTCTAGTGACTTCATCCCATGTGGTCAATGATCCGTCTTCTACCGTTCTCAACCAATGCTTTGCTTTGTCACGGATGGAGAATTGAAACATGTGCATACGGATGAACTCTTCCGTAATGTTGTTTTGCTTGATGGTTGTGCACAATTCGAGGAAGTTGTCCAAATGAGCAAAAGGACACTCATGAGAACTTCCAAAGATAAAGTCCTATCTTGGTCTCACTAGCTAATAACAAGGGTAAGAAAGGGTCGAACCCAAGGTAGGCGTTGAATCAACCACCGAGATACTACTGTTTAAATAAGCTAAATGAAGTCGAAATTTGTTTGGATTTTATGTAACATGTACTAGTTCAATCAACTAATACTAAGGGGTGATTAACAATAATTAGAGATTTCTAGGGCTCGGGATATACCACTCAATTTCGTCATAAATCACAAGTAGCATGTAGCAAACAATGGTATATTAAGGGGATAATATAAGGGAAGTCATCTAAAGCACCCAACTACTCTCTCAAGCTAGAGGGATTACGTGAATCATGAATACAACCTACTCTCGTGTTTACAAAGCATAAAACAAGTATTAAAGCATAATCACGATGACAAAAACATTCCCTTGACTAGAAATTCCTATTCTCATGGCATTTCAAGTCAATTAAGCATAAGGGAGCTAACTCAAATTCATCTCTCGATCCTTCGTTGAGAAAGCTTAGATAATAGTTCTAGCAATGGCCATATACAAGAACTAAGCAATTAAACCACTTAAGCGCAACTAATTAACACCCAACAATTACCAAACTAACACATGCAACAAGTAATTAGTGACTACATTGAGGGTTTTACCCAAACCCTAGAAAATTAGACTACTCACAATCCATGGAGATTAAAGCAATTAATGATTTCAAGTAACTCATGAACAAGAATTAACTAAAGATTAAGCTAAATAACAATCTAAGCATACAAGAATTAAGCAAGATAATTAATAATCAAAGCAATTAAAATGGAAGAGAAGAGTGAGAAAAATATTACTAGAAACTTGAACTTGAATAACAATGGTGGAACTTGTCTTCTACAATGATTGAGAATGAAATTTCCAAGCTATTAATTATAATTTGACTAATGATTTGAGAATATTTGTGTTTCTACAATTACAAACTAAGAGGAAGCACTAAAAACTTGGATGTCGTACAAATGAGCTCAAGGGGTTATATATAAAGACCCCCCAAATAAAAAAGATGGAGAAAACAAGAGTCGGGCATGGCTACAGGTCAGCACGGACGTGGTGAGGTTGGCACGGACGTGCAGCTAAAACAGAACGGACGTGCTGAGGTTGGCACGGACGTGTAGAGTCAGAAGATGGGAAGCAGAAGCTACTGTTTTGGCCAAGGGATCCTGCACGGACGTGCCAAATGTGGCACGGACGAGCAGGCCTTGTACATTGGAATCAGTCTTGAAACTGGTTTGAGCTGGGCAAGATGCACGGACGTGTAGGATCAGGCACGGACATGCTGAAAATCCTGCACGGACGTGCAGGTCCTGAGGGCAGCAAACTGAAGTTTCTAGTCGGTCTGATGCACTTCTGCATGGACGTGCAAGGCATGGCACGTCTGCGCAGGCTCTCTTAGACCCTTTTCTTCACTTTTTATTCAGTTTTTCTCCATTGTCTCGGCTTCTAACCTCGGTTTATCATCCATATGCTTCAAATGGTCGTCTTTGAACCTAAAAACTCAACCAAAACACTAACAACCCGTGAAGCAAGGGATACACAAAATTTGAACGAAAATAGAGTAGAAGTGACCCAAAATGCCAATATATATCAAGTAAACAAAGTTCAAAATCACTCTAAAATCATATCAAATAACTAGTTATCAACAAACTAAGGGATTTTCAAAGTTCCATGAATAAAGGAAAAATGGTCAAGTCGATGAAGAGGCAGAGGTGGTTGCTCTTACAGCAAAAGTGTCATTCAAAACCAAGGAAAAAATTAAAAGAATAAGTCAAAGAAGAAGGTTTCAGGCCCGTAGCAAAGCCAGGGCAGGTGGGGCGACCGCCCTGGGCCCCCGAACCAAAAGCCCAACTTTACTTTAATGAAAGGCCCCAAATTAATTATGTATAAAAAAAAAAGAGAAAAAGGAAAAAAATTAAGGAAGAAGCGTATAACTATATTAGCAAAATCTTCAGTTTCAGAAATTCAATCCCATTATTTCGCTGTTCAACCTTCTTCCTCCCTAATTTTTCTCCCAAAATATTCACTTTCCTAAGTGAATTTGATTAACCCAAAAAAAAAACCTTCCATAAATTAAATTTTATCCCCTTTTTCGGTAAATTTATTTTTCAATATGTATCTCAATTCAATTTTCGGTCAGATTAATCCCTTCACTTACATAATTATGATAAACGGTAATTTTATCCTTCAATTTTCAACGAAAATTTATCTCATTATATATAATTCTGTTTGTAAACTCTACTTTATTCATCTAAAACTTTTCTTTCTATTAAGTTTTCATCTGTACAATTTCTTATAATCAAGAATTATAAAATTGGGGGAAAAGTATCTAAGTCATTGATTGGTGGTTGTCGGTTGAATTGGTTGTTTAATTGTGCTAATTGCTTCGACTCGTTTGACGAGCTACGAGTTCATCATTCATCAGATTGATCAGACTGCTACGGAGTAGTTTGCTAAGGTTATTTCTTATCTAACTTTTTAATTTTGTACTTTTGCATTCTTAAATCATAATGTAATTATGTAATTTTATTTTATTTGTTTAATTTTACTAATTTTTTTTGTTTCCATTGTTTTGTATTTTTCAGATTTGATTACTTGAAATGACATTTTTTAGAACATATCAATATAGAAAGAAAAAAATATTATTAGTGACTATTATTAGTGACTATACTTTATGTATTGAAAAAAATATGTTAGAACATATCAATGTAGAAACTATTAGTGACTTTGCTTCTAGGCTCGTAGAAATATTTTCATATGAACGCTTAGGCTTTAATTTCAATGTTTTATTTATAGGAAACTAGATTAAGCCCTTGCGATGCACGGTTTGTTTGATTTTTTTAATTTTTTTTTTTCTTTTGAGTCTGAAATTTGTTATATATTTAGATAAAAGTCCTAATATTAAAAGATAATATATAATATATAATTAATTTAAAATTAAAAATCTCATTTGCCAATTTTACTTACATGGCATTTGAATTATTTAATTTTAAAAGAAATTAATAATCTCGTATTTAACTGGCTACTACTAAGATTTATAATCCTTCATGGCGCGCTGAGAAAACTAGATCCTACGCGGCTTTCTAAAAACTCGGGAAAAAACTCCCCTTTATATATATAATAGATTTGATGTTATTAAAGATTATTATGCGTAATAAAATATTTTTTTTTTTGCCCACCGAAATTTTATTTTATTTTAAAATACAATATGTGAATTAGGGTCCCAATTTTTGTCTTCGCCCGGGCCACCGAAATTTCTGAAACGGCCCTGTAACTCACCAACTTCCAAAGGTTCGAAACTCAAACCTTCTTACAATAGTTGTAAAAAGAATAACTGTGATAGTGCAATTGTTGGTTCAAAGGAAAACCATACAGTTCTGAGTGCAAAAAGTTTGATCATGTCGGAAAAAACTGTAGCTTTAAGTAATGTTGCTATTTTTGGAGAATAAGATCAAGAAGAAATTTATTTTAAAGAAGATTGTTATTCAAAGTTTGCTAGTGACAAAGAACATCGACACGGATGGTTAGTGATAGGGCACCGACAACAAACATTGAAGAACAAATACATCTAGTGACATGAGCACCGATAACAAACACAAGTTTGGAGAACTAAATACTTGAGAAGATGACTAGTGACATGTGTATCAGTGAGCTAGTTGGTAACATGGGTACCAGAAGGACTAGAAGATCAAAATGATTGAATGAATTAAGATTGGTGTTACAAATACAAGCAAGGTTGTTAGTGACAAGGGCATCAACAAATATCTCAAAAAGGATAAATTGAGCAATCATTTTGGGACAAGTTTTTCTC